AGGAAGTATATAGGAAAAACACAGTAATGTACAAAAACTGAATGTAACTTTAACAATCTGAGTAACAAATCAAGCTTTGTTTTGAAATCAGTGACATCATAGAATACCACTATGGTATTATCTACTTAATTTATAGAAGACCAGTTATCAATGGAATCAGCAAAGTATATGAAACAACTAGTATTTCTGAATGCACGTGTATTTGAAGATAACATAAATACCTGGAATCCTTCAAATTTTATATTAGAATAGAGGTAAATGGATAAAAAATTAACTTTTGGAAGTAGAGACAGCCTTTGGATATTTCATGTTTCTGGCCATTAAATATTTTTAAAAATATTTAAAAAAATTTTTTTTTTGACAGGCAGAGTGGACAGTGAGAGAGAGAGACAGAGAGAGAAAGGTCTTCCTTTTTGCCGTTGGTTCACCCTCCAATGGCTGCCGCGGCCGGCCCGCTGCAACCAGCGCACCGTGCCAATCCGATGGCAGGAGCCAGGTACTTATCCTGGTCTCCCATGGGGTGCAGGGCCCAAGGACTTGGGCCATCCTCCACTGCACTCCCTGGCCACAGCAGAGAGCTGGCCTGGAAGGGAGGCAACCGGGACAGAATCTGGCGCCCCGACCGGGACTAGAACCCGGTGTGCCAGTGCCGCAGGCAGAGGATTAGCCTATTGAGCTGTGGCGCCGGCCGCTGGCCATTAAATATTACATTCTTCTCCAGAAATAAAAAATAAGAGAATAAAATACCCATTGATGAGATACAAACTTTTGGCAAAAACATTAAGAGAAATGCAAATCTAAAATATTATCCCTTAGAAAAATGTACTGCTTTATTTTCCTTTTGCTTCCTGTTATTAGGGAAATACAGGATGATACTTGATGCTCCTGTTATGCTAAAAGACTGAGTCTGCAGCATTGTTTGCTGGTAGAAAAAATTCATTTGTAATCTCTGCACTTCTGTTTTAGAGAACAATCCCAGTAAAAAGTAGGACTGTATCACACTAACATGAGAATTGATGAGAATTGTGTTGTAGCAATTATCATGATTTGCTGTGACCCTGAAAATCTAATGTATCAATAAATTCCTTAATTGTTTTTAAATAAAGAGAAAAAAAGGACTAAATCTTTTTATTAGGAATGCCAATTCTGCTACTCTGGGAAAAGCTGCCCCCAAACAGACTGTAAACCTCACAAGGTTTGTGAGTCTTACCTCTTTTTCACCACTATATCCTGAAAAGTAAACAAAATCAAGAAGAGTCAGAGATGGGAGCATCAGACAGACAAAGCACAGGGCAGAGAGGAAAGGTGAGCAGGACTGGGGCAGCACCCAAGAGAGGCTCAAAGGAGAGGCAAAGCCAAGCGAGGGGGACCAGGGGAAGTGGCCAGCAGAGGATGGGTGACCAGAAAGAAGGAGGCATAAGAGAAGGGAGCCAAGTCGGGCAAGAGAGGGAAATTTTAAAGAATGTTTATTTTTATTTACTTGAAAGGTGGAGCAACACACACACACACACACACACACACACACAGAGGAGGGAGGAAAGGAGCAAGAGGGAGAGATTGAGATCCTCTACCCGCCGGTTCACTCCCCACAAGACCACAACCCACAACAGCCAGGGCTGGGCCAGGCCAAAGCCAGGAACTTGCAACTCCATTCAAACCTTCCTTGTGTGAGGCAGGGTCCCAGATACTTCCACTTGCCAGTATGCATTGGCAGGAAGCCGGATTGGAAGCCAGCATTCTAACATAGGACGAGGGTGTCCAGCAGCAGCTTAACCTACCCTGCCACAACACCTGCCCCTGAAAAGGTTTTTAAGATCATGAAGCCAAGGACAAACAGGCCAGGGGGAGCATGAGATGGGTGTGTAAAAGAAAAGAAACCAGAGAAACTGCTTAAAAATCCCTCTGCCAGCAAGCAAGCAAGAAAGAGCAAAAGAGAAAGAAAAGAAAATCAAGAGAAGGAGGGAGGAAGGGAAGTATCATATTCTTAGAATTGTATACATGGCCCACATGGAATCTGGTCTTTGTATTAATATCAAATTAATATGAGAATTGATGAGAATCACATTGTAATAATTATCACGCATTTTCTGTGACCCTGAGAACCTAATGTATTAACAAATTCCTTTTAAAACATGAGACAGCCCTTTGCCTAGAGCAGAAACAAGTATTTGTTTCACTCATTCAAATTAATTTCAACCTCTATTTCTATAAAACAAAAACCCCTAAGTTACTCTGAAATAAAGTTAATTTTATGGCAAATAGCAGAATACTATAGTGGTTAAGAGTATGGGTTGGAATACCACTGCCACCTAGAATTTTGGAGACCTGGGATGAGTGAAACTCACTAAGGGCCTGGGAATGCAGAATTGTTTGAAAGCAAGGCGGGCATAGAGAATACTAACAGCCAATGAGCATACAGATAGCAGCTGCAGCTAGTCTCCTGCCAGAAAGCTCTGTTCTAAGTGCTTTACATATATTAACTCAATACTCAACAACAAGCTCCTGAAGTGGGATCAGCGAGGCATCCTGCAGTGTAAGTAACTGGTTCCCAGTCACAGATCTTGTATGCGGACAACCTGGGCTTTTAACCCAAGCACTCTGGATTCAGAGTTGATATGTTGCTTTTCTTAGAGACAGACAAACAGAAAGACAAATGCACAGATGGAGAGAGATATTCCTTCTACTGGTTCACTCTCCAAATGCCTGTACGTCAGAGCTGGGCCTGTCCAAAGCCAGGGGCTGGGAACTCAACCCAGGACTCCCACATGGGTGGCAGAAACTCAAGTAATTGAGCGATACATCTGCTGCCTCCCAGGGTGTGTGTTAGTAGGAAGCTGGAACAGAAGAGGAGTAGCCAGGACTTCAAACTGGCACTTTGATATGAGATGCATGGGCCCCAAGAGGCAACCTAACTGCTGTGCCACACACCCACCCCCTGAGAGTTTGCATTTTTAGCCACTACCTTCACAGCCCTTCAGGGAGGAGCTGCCAACCTCCAATCAAGATGTCAAAGAAGCGGAAATGTCGATTACCCTGATTTGATCAGTACATACTGTGTGTATATCGAAATATCACACTATAGCACATAAATATGTATAATCATTAATTTTTAAAAATACATAGTTTGAGAACACAATTACCCTAAAAGTTGATGGATCTTAATCATGATCAAAATAGCAATTACAACCAGAGAAACAAGCCTGTTTCGTATCATTTCTAAAAGAGAATCTAGGTAGTAATAAAAGATACAACCAGGAGAAAACTGTGCTAGAGATCCTTATGAATAGTGCATTTTATGAACAATGGTTTCTTGTAAAATTTTAGACATTTTTTCTTTTCTGTCTTAGTTTACATAGCCAATCTGCTGCTAAGATTCCATTCTAAATTTCCTTCAGAATTACTCTTGGGTTTGTCATTTCTTCTCCTTAGGTACTTGGCAGGGAACATCAGGGCTATGCTAATAAAAAAAAGAATTTGGAGTGAGAGAGATGAATGCCAGTGTAGGCAGATAAGAGTCAACTGTTGCTATGAAGTTGCTTTGAATTTACATATTGTAAATTGCTGCTCAAAGTCAAAGCCACTGAGAATCTTCCTTGGCTGAGAATATGTGAATCAGGGTAAACAGATTGCAGGCATGAAGGTACAAGAAGGAAATGAAGAAAGAACTGTTTTTCTTTCTGGTCCTTGCTTTGTGCAAGGTGAGGATCACATGAGAATAGTCTTTGTTTTGGTTTGGTTTATTTTGGTAGAATAACAAAAATATTTTACTAAAACATAAGACTTATAGAAGTTTCCAGATGAGCCATACAAAATGGTCCCAAGTTGTTTTGAAGGCGAATCTACACTTGACAGCAGAGTCACAATGTTATTAGTGAGGGCTGTGCTGTTTGCTTAATGTTCCCAGTTTGGTTCAATCAAGCTTGTTCATCTACAGAGCCTAAATAAAGTTAGACTTGGCTAGAAAGCACATTCTAAAGAACTGGTTCATTGCTTTATACCAATGCAATTAGAGTGCCATGAAAAGGGGAAAGGAGTCCATAAAATTAAAATAAAACTTACCTTCTCCCCCCCAAAAAATAAGAAAAACACCCACACTCTTGCAGCTAACTCTGACAGCTGCCTTCATTTACAGTGCTTTATACTTAAACCAATGGGGGAAATGAATCAAAGCAGAGGGAACAATGCTTTTCAGCATTTTGCAACAGTCCAGATGATACTTCTAAATCTGCTCATGCTTTACAACAGTGAATTAGGACAAGATAGAGATTTGCTAAAGTGCATTTAGTCACCAAAAGCCTGAACATATCTGGGCTTTTATTCTGTAATGTTTCTAAGACTGTGTCCATTAAATGCAAACAGAAAAGGAAGTCTTAACAGAACAGGAGAGGGTGATGCATACTTGAGCAGATCGACTTGAATATTACTCAAGGCCTGTAGCCTAGTCCATGCTCTAGCTGTTTCTATGGCTTGGGTTTCCTCGGTCTTCCATGCTGTGCTACATCATTTGCTAACAGATTATCTGGTTTGGCAGCACCTAACAAAACCTGAATCCACAGCAACACCATGCAAATCTGCAGTGCTGGGGGCCACTTATCTTTCAAAATACCCAAACATATTCTTCCCAACTTGTCTACCTTGGATGATAAATTTTGGTCACGGAATTACTTTAGGAGATGCCACTGGGTATTCTTCTGGAAGGAACAGTTCAAGTTTAAAAGTCACTCCCTCAAAGGGTCTAGCAATGACTACATGAAAATATCTGGCATTACTCTCATCTGGATCTGCTTTGACTCCCGGGAACCGGTTCTGCAAGCAAACTGGGGCTTCCTTGATGATCCTGCCGGGCAGTCCGGCCTTCTGGTCAGATCCCCAGTTCGGCCTCTGATCTCATCTTGGGCTCCACTGGCCTCACACACAAGTCAGAGTAGACCTTTAAAACTCCACCAAGTTATCTGTAACCACTGCAAATCTTTCTGTTAACAAGAAACATATACACTCACTTTTTCGTTGTAGATGTCTCCAAGCATTGTACTTGCTCTCACAATATCTAGGCTTTGAAAAGTGTTTCTGGAAATTTTCAAGTACTTTTTCAAGTATTTAATTGCTTCCGTTGTCTCTCCTTGGCTGGAATATAAAAATAGGAAACCATTGGAATGCCATCTCACTTGGCATTACAGTGAAAAGAATGCATTTTGTGTCTGGTCTGTAGAAATGCACAAGATGGCTATCAGGACAATGAGATGTAACGTGCGAATACCAAGTAAAGAAACATGTGGCTTCTTTTTGTTAGAGTACACCATGAATTAAAACTGACAATTTTCAAACCCTCATGCATTGCTGATGGAAACGTAAAATGATGCAGCTGCTTTGGAAAACTTCCTCCAAAACTTTAACAGAGTTACCATATGACCTAGAAATTTCACTCCCAAATATGTACCCAGGAGAAAAACATGTCCACAAAAAAAGCTTGTATGTAAATGTTCATGGCACATTGTTTGTAATGGCCAAGAAAAGGAAGCCATGCAATCAAATGAGTCAACAAAATATGGTATACCCACGCAACTGAATGCTGTGAAGTAGTGATACATGTTGCAACAAGGATGAAACTTGAAAACACACTAAGACAAAGGGGCCACACACAAAAGATCACAAATTGTATGGTTCCATTCACATGGCATGTCCACAACTGGCAGATCTGCCTAGACAGAAAGTAGGGTAGTGGTTGCTAGAGGCTGAGGATGGGGGAGTGAGGAATGGCTGGTAATGGGTATAGGGTTTCCTTTCGGGTGATAAAAATGTCCTGAAATTAGGTAATGGTGATGATTTCACAACTCTGTGAATATACCAGAATATACACCAGGTTGTAGACCTTAAAAAGGTGACCTGAATGCTATATGAATAAAGCTCTTTTGAAAAAAGAAAAGCCTTTAAAAATCTTACAAAAAGTAAAGGCTAATTTTTTCTTGCAAGCTTCTCTGAGCAGTGAAATCTAGGTGTCACTGAATTCACATAGAACAGGGTACTTAAAAATGTTCATGGAAAATGGAATTAAAAGATGTTTATTTTGGTGTAAAACACATTGAGATTTGTGCATACACATTTAGAGGGTTGTATACTCTAGAAAAATGCTCAGAAAAACATAATTTATAGCAAACCGCTTGGCATTTACTAAGCACGTACATATTTTTGAGTGAAGGAATGGTTGGAAATTTGTGAAGGATGGCACTTATAGAGTATACACAAAAGTTAAGCCTCCAAGTATACTGTGAGAACCTCTGTCAAAACGGATGTTTGAGGTCCATGACCATAAACTCTGACTACTGGATTTTTCAGTAACATCAAGAAACTTTGAAAGCATAGCAAATATCCCCAAATATTTTCACAGCTGGGAATATGGTTTCTGTCCTTGAAGAATGTCACTGTCAACTTGGATCGAGATAAATGTACTCTACATGAGATTAAGTGGGATAGGTACTATGAATTACATATAGTGTTTTGAAATCTGGAGTACATTCATATGACAATTTTATAAAAGCATGTACAATGTTTGGAGGGTAAATCTGATTTTACAAAGGAGCCAAAAGAGATTTTGAGTCAAACCTAGTGAATGCAATGGAGTCCTCTCAGTGTTTATATGAATTAAAAAAAAAATGTGTCCATTTCAGGAGACATATTAGAATTGTGACATATACAAAATGCGTGGTGTGTTTAGTGATTGACATGTTCTTTCCCTCTCCACTTTCACCCACATCCTCAGCACATAGGTTGGGAATCATTGTTAATCATCTTCTCTTTCTCCAAATGTTTTTTCCCTATTGGGCATCTAGCACTCTCAGTCCATCCCTTCACCTCTCCTATACCTCTCACTGACACTCACCCAAAGTTGGCTCTTTCCAAAGTTCTATTCAGGGCTTGATTTTCCCTTGCAGTGAATTTTATTTGGATAGCTTCCTCTAGTACTATGGTGTGACTTGACTCGCATAAGCACATATCAGGCAAACAGGTGTTTCTAGCCACTTCCCCTCCTGCTTCAGATCCACCTTTCTCATTGCCATACACACTTGGCATGTAAAGAAGGCAGTTCTTTCCAATGGTTATCTCTGACAGGGTCATCTAACGGTGAGGATGATGGTATTTTTTTGAATCTCTCTTTAGAAAACTGCTTCATAGTGAAGCAATGTAAAGCATGCATAAGTCATTTAATAAAATTTGTCCAACAAATGGGATTACCAGTAGAAATTTTTTTCTTGTTTTTTAAGTGTGACTCCAAATTCATCTGGCTGTTTCTAAAGATCAAAACTATGTCTCTCAAATAATGATTGAAAGAACATGTCACAGGCTCAGAAAGCATTGTCAATGGAGTTTATTCAAAACAGGAGGCAGAGGGAGGAGGGATACCAACTTGTATAGCCTCTGATGATTTGGATGAAATATTTATTCTCATAGATGTGGTATCTTTAGAAAAATAAGTTAGCTGATAGAATAAAAAAGGGAAAGAACGATCTAACATGGGAAGCGGGATACATAGCAGACTCATAGAATGGCAGGTGTCCTAAATAGCACTCTGGCCTCAGAATCAGCCCTTGAGGCATTCGGATCTGGCTGAAGAGCCCATGAGAGTATTTTAGGCATGGAAAGCCAAGACACTCTGGCAAAAAAAAAAAAAAAAAAACAAAAACAAAAACAAAAACAAAACCACCTCTAAATGAAAGTTCTCTGCAAGTGAGATCCCAGAAGAAAGAACGGGCCATCAAAGAAGGAGGTACTTTTCTCTGAAGGGAGGAGAGAACTTCCACTTTGACTATGACCTTGTCTAAATAAGACTGAAATCAGCAAACTCAAAAGGCTTCCATAGCCTTGGCAACTCATGACTAGAGCCTAGGGAGATTACTAAAACCATAAACAAGAGTGTCAAATTGTTAAGTGAACAACAGGAGTCACTGTGTACTTACTCCTCATGCAGGATCTCTGTCCTTAATGTGTTGTCCAATGTGAATTAATGCTATAACTAGTACTGAAACAGTATTTTACACTTTATGTTCTGTGTGGGTGCAAACTGATGAAATCTTAATATATACTAAATTGATCTTCTGTATATAAAGATAACTGAAAATGAATCTTGATGTGAATGGAATGGGAGAGGGAGCGGGAGATGGGAGGGGTGCAGGTGGGAGGGAAGTTATGGGGGGAAGCCATTGTAATCCATAAACTGTACTCTGGAAATTTATATTTACTAAATAAAAGTTTTTTAAAAAAGAAAAAATGAGTTAGCTTACATTAAAGTCATTCATTGTATTGTGGATATTATAAAGATCTAGGCTTCATTCCAACTTGGTTTCTTGGATGAATAATTTTGATCATATTAAAGTTAAGAAACTGAACAACACTTCAGCTTGTTCATTTTTAAAATGACTCAAAGAATGACAATCATTATAAGTAACATTCTGACCTCAGAATCAGCCCTTAAGGCTTCCTGGTTTGGCTGAAAAGCCCATGAGAGCATTTCAGGTGTGGAAAGCCAAGACACTGTGGCAAAAAATGTTCTATATGAAGGATCTCTGTGAGTGAGACCCCAGCAGAAAGAAGTGGCCATCAAAAAAGGATATACTTTTTCTAAACGGAGGAGACAGCTTTCATTTTGCTTATGGCCTTTGTCCAAAAACTGAAGGAGTTTTTGGAATTAAAAGGCTTCCATAACCTAGGCAGCTCATGTCAAAAGCCTCAGGTGATCATTGATGTCATACATAAGAGTATTAATTGTTAAAAAAAATTAACAACAGGAGTCACTGTGCACTAAGTCCTCATGCAGGACCTCTGTCCTCAGTGAGATGCATTATGAGATTTAACTGTCAAACTAGTTCTCAGTTTGTGTATGCAAAGTGTTGAAATCTTTACTTAGTATAGAGTCTTTTGTGTACAACGTTAATTGAAAATGAATCTTAATGGAGAATGGTATTGGCAAGGGAAGAATAAGGGGGGGGGGGATGTGGGTGGGAGTGTGGGTATGGTGGGAAGAATAAGTATATTCCTAAAGCTGTACTTATGAAATTTGTATTTCTTAAAAAATAAATTTAAAAAAGTGGTAAAAATAAATAAAATGACTACAAATTGCTATTAGATGAAAAAGCAACAAATTCATAGCCTGGCACATAGTAGGGATTCATTAAGTGGCAGCAAGTACTAGTATCGTGTACGAAACAAATGGCTCTCACATTCACAACTCTCTAGTTGATATTTTCCAACACAAGCCGAACAGAAAATTCAATTTGTTAAGCATTATTTCCTTGAAAATCTTTTATCATGAAATGAATTAAACAAGGTAACTTAAATGTACACTCTGCAAACTAGTCACACAAAATCCTAGTGTCTGCTTTCTAGGGAGCAGGATCAAAGAACTAACATATTGTTTACTTGAGTACCAGACTCTATCAAATTCATTCTTTTGCCATTTTTTTATTGGTAAAGGAAACTGTTAAGCATAAGAAATAGGATAGAATCTGACCTTCCTTAAGTTGTAAACACTGCTTCTGTCCTCACTTTTTCATGCCAAAATTATGACTAATTTTCCAGTTGGATGTAGATCAGAAAAAAAGGCTTTTGAGGGGAATTTCCCAAATGCAGGCAAAGAATGAAATCTATTGAGAAGTTCCCTATTTATTATAATTTTTTTCTTTATAAGATGACCAAACAATATTGAGAGAGCTTAAAAGTACAAAATAGCAATAAATCAATCATACTATTTGGGATGTAGAACAAATTTTTGGATTTCTATGTGTAAAAATGTTTTTTATCAAATTGATATTAACTTTCCAAGCTATATCCTGGATTTTGATACTCAAGGAAAAATAATGAAAAAAGAAAAAAAACTGGAGACTGCTTTGCATGTCACTTTAAAACCTTCAGGAAAAAATTATTATTGTTATTATTATTTAGCTGAAACATATTCAGGGATGCTTAGTTTCATGTTCCTAAAAGCTGATATATTTTTGATGGAAGTATATTTTGGATTAGATTTTTTCTGTTGAAGATTATTAAATTTAAATACATACAAATAAACAAAAAAAATTCCATGAACAAGGAATAGAAAAGTAGCATAAATCAAACTATTGCTGGATGATTTTATT